TTTTTTTTTCTCCAACATACACATATTGAGTATCACTAATCTGAAATGCAAAATGACACTGAAGAAATTTCAGATTTCAGATTTTTCAGATTAGGAATGCTTATCCCCTAGAATCTGTGCAGAAGTTCTAAAACATTTTTGGGGTCTGAGCATCTCATATAAGGGATACTCAAGCTGGGCATACTGGCACATGTCTGTAATCCCAGCAATCAGAAAGCTAAGGCAGGAGGATCACCATGAGTTCAAGGCCAGCCTAAACTATGTAGTGAAACCCTGTCTCAAAAAACAAAAGACACAAAAATAAGGGATACTCAACCTAAGATTAAAGGATTATATTCAATTTATAATGATCATAATTACTTGTTCTTGAGCTCTTTTGATTATAGCAGTTACCTGTTATAGCTGCTGTACTGATTATCTGATTGTTCATACTATTGATTATTCCATTAAGTTGTGAAAAGCTTTGTCATATTACAAAGAAGAAAATCTATAGAATAAAACATTCTTAAGCTGTTTTCTCTCAAGTAGATATATGTTTTTGTCAAGCAAAAGTGTTTCCAGAACTCCTTTAAATATTCCTGGTATGGAAAGAATTACTTGTGTAAAAGAATAATAAATACATTATGGGTGTCCTATTGTGAAATGGCTCTCTCAGCCAGCAAACAAAATTTTTACAAAAATAAACTAAAATCAGGGCTGGGGATGTAGCTCAGTGGCACCACACCTGCCTCACAAGCAGAAGGTCCTGGTACCAGCAAAACAAAACAAAAACTGTAAAATACTTTTATATATACTGTAGGAGTACTGTTTGGCAGAAGAATTAGTCATTGTCTTCAAAGATTTCTTTTTCTTGTGTCTAAATAGATGTAATCATTTTTAGTAAATTTGTGATTGGCAGTTTCTAAAATGCCATTATTATAACACGAGATAGTTGGGACCCAGTAACATGCTGCATTTTCTGTGTCGATGACCTAAGTGGAAGGTACCTTTCCATGTTACAAGCATTTTTGTCATCAGTGGTGCTATTTTGTTAGGTATTATCTATTTTAGTAGTATATTTTAAATATTAACAGTAGGTCTCTTATAGGATGATAGCAGTGATGATGGGTTCCTTGCTGATGACAACTGCAATTCAGAAATAGGACAGTGGCACTTAAAGCCTACTATCTGTAAACAGTAAGTATTACCTGTATCTCTTATGTGTTAAGTTCTATTTAAATACATTCATAGAATAAAGCATAACCAGACCATTTTCATTTAAGTAGAATTCACAAGTGTTGTCAGGCTCCGTGAGGAAAAGCAAGGCAGATATCCAGGGATCAAGGAGGGGAGAATGGGTAATCAATTCAGTCCTCCTTTATCAACTTTCCCATCCTCTGTATCCACAGATGAATATGTTTTGATGGCGAACCCAATTCCTTTTTTATATAGTGTTTTGGGGCAGAAAACCACTGTATATCAAAACAATAACATGAGATTGGAGTTGACACTCAAAATGAAAGTGAGTCAGGGTTAGTTTTCAGAAGCATTCTGACATCTCTCTAGAGGCTCTAGACTTAGATGATGAAGTATGACCTATTTATGGATTTAATCTCCTTTAACTTTGTTGTATATAATATTGGCAGAAGTTCTAATAAGGCATGTTGAAAAGCAAATTTCATTTATAAAAGAAAACATAGAGACTTGTTATAGTTGAGAGATCTGCTCCAGAGCTGGGGCTTATAGCTCAGTGCTACAGTGTGTGCAGAGCTTGCATGAAGCCCTGGGTTCCATCCTTAGCACAGGAAGGGGGCAGATGCTCCAAATCCCAAAAACTGTTAGCCAAGAAGAACCCAGATCTTTAAACATTTCAATACTTTCGGCATTGCAAGTATTCAACTTTTGGTCATTTCTACCCCACAGACCTTGTATTCTACTTATGGACTCACTCAGAGGCCCATCTCGATCAAATGTTGTAAAAATTCTAAGAGAGTAAGTTCAGAATTGCACCTCACATTTTGTTTTATATTGTGGTGGACATGAGGCAGTTTGTGTATTTACATGTACCTGTATTCTTATTATGTAACCATTCTTACAGATATTTAGAGGTGGAATGGGAAGTTAAAAAAGGAAGCAAAAGAAGTTTTTCTAAAGATGTTATGAAAGGCTCTAATCCAAAAGTACCACAGCAGAACAACTTCAGTGATTGTGGCGTATATGTATTACAGTATGTAGAGAGCTTTTTTGAGGTGAGTTTCAGTGTTTTAACTCTGACCTTATAAATAACAAAATAGTGTATTTGACCTCATTTTGTATATAAACACAATTAGCAAATATTCTAAAGAATTTGAAAACCGGGTTGAAAAATTACTCCACCTTTGAGATCTCTCATGATTCAGACTGCTACTTATAACTCTTTTCTCTCTTTCACATATATATATATTTCTTGAGCAAAAATGTCCATATTGGAGAACTTTTAAGACAAAAATACCATGTTTATAGGTCACCAAATCTGAGATTTGTTGGCCTCTTGCTATTACTGATTAGCTTATTCTCCCCACTGGGTTTTTCCACTTACGAGACCTGTGATACAGCCTGAGATTTTTGCCTTTCACAGATAAATGTATTTCTTGAGAAGTATTTATATTTATCATCTCCTTTTCCACAAGTCCTGATTGCTTCTTGGATCTCCACAACATGACAGCATCTTTACCTTTGTATTAAAGTTGCTCCTGACCACCCTGCACCATTTGCTGCTGTGGACCATTTCTTTTCCCTGTCTTCCCTTTGACTTCAGAGGTCAGATATCTCTTAGATATTCTTTCCAGTTCGCATCTTCCTTCTTCATCCACGTTTTAGTGGAAAAACTAACTGTGTGGGATGAAGTCGGGCATTTAATGTCAGATGTGTACACTACCTTATTCCTGCTGTCGTTTGCGGAGTCCAGTATGTAAGCATCACAGTTACAAACTGCCATACCAATCTCTAAGAGATTCTCATACTTCCTGCCTTCTGTTTTTCAGCTTTCCACCAACCCCAAATCCAGTCATGTCGATTTCCTGCTTTAAATGTAACAATAGCTTCCTGTTGTTGAGTTACAGTCCAAAACTCTTTGTTTTTTCCTCCTTTTTAAATTAGTATATGTTTGTAACAGATAGTAAAGGGGCAATTGGTACATCCGCACGTTGCATCTTGATTCTTTTACTTTTTGTACTTTACCTCCCATGTCTCCTCAACTCCAAAGTGTCCTTCCCATACTTTCAAAGGACCAATTCTTGTATTCGTTGATACTTTATATTACATTTTTAGACTCAAATTAATTAATTTCCACTCTGAGATTTATAATTTATTTCCTTTCATTAGTTTTAGATTTGAACCGGGTTGTTTTGTTTTTTCTCTAGGATTTTGGTGTTACTTGATTATTTATTTGATGTTGATTTTTTTTTTTTCCCCCTAGTACTGGAGATTGAACTCAGGACCTTGCACTTGCCAGGCAGGCATGGCACCACTGAGCTAAATCCCTGGCCCTTGGTTGATCTCTTTTTTATATGTGCATTCGTAGTTTATTAATTTTTCTCTTAAAATTGCTTTCAGTGTGTCCCGTAGGTTTTGCTGTGTTGTGTTTCCGTTGTCTTTTGTCACCTCTTTTGCTGTTGATTTCATTTCATTTTGCTATGATCCAATGGTATGTAGAGGATTCCTTCATTTCATTTGTATTTCTTGAAGCATGCTATATGGCCCATGATATGATCTATTTTGGAAAAAGTTCTGTGTGTTGTTGAGAAAAATGTGTATTCTGTTACTGTTGGATGAAACACTGTAGATGCCTATGAAGTCCATTTGTCACTGGTATGGTGTAATTCTAAGATTTCTTTGTTGATATTTTTGTCTAGTTGACCTGTGTGATTGTGAGAGTGAGGTGTTGAAGTCGTGTCCCCTCCACCACCCCGCTGTGAATGTACTGGTTTCCGCCTGTCCTTTGTGTCTAGGAGTTTTGCTTTCATGCAGTTGGATGCACTGACATTTGGTGCTTTGGATGCTTACAGTTGTTATCTTCTCTTGCCGAATTGTTCCCTGTACCAGTACGCAGAGGCCATCCATATCTCTTTTGATCATTTTTGTCTTGAAGTCTGTTGTGTCTGACAATAAGATAACTACTCCTGCTTGTGTATTCTGGTTCTTTTGGGACAGAGAATCATTTTCCATCTGTGTGCATCCTTTTGAATGAGGTGTGTCTCCTGCAGACAACATATGGCTGCATTTTGGTTCTTTATACAATCTACCAGTCTGTGTCTTGATTGGGGAGTTGAGACCATTGACATGGAGAGTTGTTATTGTAAGGATATTTTTTTAATCATTTTTGTAATTCTGAGGTTGGTTTTGTATGTTTGCATGTGTGTGTTTGTGTGTGCAACAGGTGTATTGTCTAGCAGTTCTTGGATCTAGCTTGTGTGATATCTTATAGGTTTTGGGGTAGTACTGAGTTTATGATTTTCTGCATCTTCCTCATCTTCTAGTTCTGACATTCTATCCTCACACTGGTCAAGTTTGCTACTGATGCTTTACACTGAATTTTTCTATATCATGTATTTCTGCTTGCTTTCTATTCATACTTGCTAATTCTTCACTGAAGTAATTATTTATATCATGTATTGTCTGTTTATCTCAATCATCAAACATTTTATTTGTAAAATTGTCTGTTTAATAAAACCCTATTTGAGCTCATTTAACATCTTACACATTTACTTGTATGTTTCTTCTCTATCTCTTCAAATATTTTAACCATTTGTTTTTTGAGTTTCTTGTCTATAACTTTCTCTACTTCAGTGTCTGTGAGATCAGCTTTTAGGGAGTAGGGACTTTTTGAGGCATCTTCTTACCTTGCTTTCTCATTTTTCTATTGTTTTTCACTGGGATTTGAAGATCAGTTTGGATAGGAAAACTCTGTCACTACTGTAGCAATCTCTTTAGATTCTGTCTCCCTGTGATGCATTCTTGGATTTGCTTAAGTTTTGGTGTTTATGCCCATCTTCAACCTATTCAGTATAATGTTTGAGGATCTTAGGGGGCCAGGGATTTGGCTCAGTGGTTCCACCACCTACCTTGCAAGCACAAGGTCCCAAGTTCAATCCCTGGTACCACAAAAAATAAGCAAACAAATATTTGAGGGTCTTAGTATCCAGCCTTCTTCTCGGGCAGTGATGGCAAACCTTTTAGAGCTTTCAGGCATAACAAACACCCCACTCTGGCCATAGGTTCACCACTACTGTTCTAGGGGCTTGATTGCCAGTGTTATTTGTTTTTGCAGACACAGGATGTCCTCCCTCTCCTCCCTGGGAGCTGGGGTTAGCATTTCAGACCGCTTCATTTTTCCTTTGGGGGCAGGATTGGCTTGGGTTGGCTTCGTTTTATTTCACTTTCTGGTTTTTTGTTTTGTTTTATTTTGTTATTTTAGTACCAGGGATCAAACTCAGGCCCTTGCACTTTTGAGGTTGTTTTCGTGAGACAAGGTCTTACTGTGCAATTCAGCATGGCCTGGCACTCACTATGTATCCCAGGCTGGCCTGGAGCTCAAAGCAATCCTCTTGCCTTAGCCTCCTGAGTGCTATGATTACAGGCATATGCTACCACTAATCTCATTCTTTGTTTTCTCTACATTTTTTTCCTTTTTCTCTGTTGGTTCTTTCTTGATTTCAGGACCTATGCTTGTTTTTCTTGTCACTAAGTTGTTGTTTTCCAGATCTCAATTCCAGGTCCTAAGAGAGGCTACTTTTTGCTGCCAGTCTTCACAGTGCCATATTTAATCTCTCTCCAAACCCTTCCTATGGCCTATAAGCACCTGTGTGATCTGGCCTGTGTCCAGGCTTTGGGCTTGTTTTCCCACCATTCTCATCCCAGCATTCTTTTCAACCAACCGAAAGTCATTGTATTTCTCATACTGTGCCATCCTCTCTAGTCTCTAGGCCTTACATAATATAAACATCCCACCTAGCACACTCTTCCGTGTTGCTTCCACCATTCCGTAGCAGGCTAACACTTAACTCTTTAAGGGTTACCTTAAACATAATTTCTTATTGGAATAGTTTTAGGCCCCCAAGTATTTATTTCTCAACATTACTATGTACTTCTGCTGTAATATTTGCCATGTTCATTGTTCAACTTGTTGAATTATCTGTCTGTCCTGGGCTGACAAGGCGTATAAAGGGTAAGTGAGTAAATATTTAAGGCTTTTCAGCAATAGCTCTGTTCCTACTCTTAGTTCTACTGTTTGTAAAAACATTCATAGTCCTTTGTTTGTTTGGTACTGGGGATTGAACTCAGGTCCTTGCACTTGCGAGGCAGGCATTGGGACTGCTGAGCTTAATCCCTAGCCCTCATAGACCATATTTAAATAAGTTAGTGTGTCTGTGTTCCAATAAAACCTCATTACAAAATCAGGCAGTGAGGAGACTTTGGCCTAGTGGTTTTAGTTTGCTACTCATTTACCTAGGTTTTTTTGAGTCAAGGTCTCACTATGTACTTCTGGCTTCCCTTAAACTCACTGTGTAGCCCAGGCTGGCTTTGAACTTGCAGAAATCCTTCTGCCTCAGCCTTCTAAGTGCTGAGATTACAGGTATCTGCCACACCTGGCTACCAGTCTCTATAATTTAGGTTGTAAGATCTGTAGGCAGAAACTGTCCTGTACCTCATTGATAAGCACACTGCTTGTCATATGATAAATAATGAATCAGTGCATATTGCTGTTTCCATTTTAACTTAGGAGTGATTTTTGTGTTTGAAATGAAAATGTAGTTTATTACAATTTTAATAGGCATATCATTCTTTTTATTTTCAGAATCCAATACTAAATTTTGAATTACCTATGAATTTGACAAACTGGTTTCCACCCCCACGAATGAGGACGAAAAGAGAAGAAATCCGAAATATAATTCTGAAGCTGCAAGAAGATCAGAGCAAGGAGAGAAAGCTGCATAAGGACACTTGCTCCACAGAAGCATCTTTAAATGAAGGGCTGGAACAACAGCATGTCAGCAGTGTCTCAGCGTGACCAAAAAACCAGAAGTGGCATGTCACTTCCACCGTTAGGGACTAAATGACTTTAAACTGTGGGTATAGACAGTAAAGAACTGGTGTGCTCACTACGCAGTGATTGGGAAATGTTAATGCTTGTATAAATGTCATATAATTAATTTCCAAAGGAGTATGTATTAAGTAAGAGTTTGTAAATAATGTTAATGAGGCCAATTTTCCAGCGTTTATAATTATTTTTTTCACTTGTTAGGAAGCATTTGTTATTTTCTGTTAATAGTACTTAAAATTGCAACTTCTAAACACAAAATAAAAAAAATATTTATAGGAGGAAATTATTAATTTGATATTCTTTAGTGAACTTGTATAATACCTCAAATGGGTGTGATTTATTTCCTCAGAATATTCAAGTATCTATGATAATCTCTTGACCCTTTATATTTGTTCTAAAATAATTGAATGTGAAAATAAGATTATATATATGGCATTTTGAACTAGAAAATATCTTCGTGTGCTTGCATCACAGAAAAAAAGCTTCAATTCATGTGTCCTGTGTTCAGAGAACCCAAAAATTGCAATAAATATTTATAATTTTACACATATTTAAGTAACAATATTAAGAATAATTTTTTTAAAATTACTACTAAAAAGTAATTCTGGGCCAGGATTTAGCTCAGTGGTTCCACCACCTGCCTCACAAGCTCAAGGACCCGAGTTCAATTCCTGGTACCAAAAAAAAAAATAATTCTACTTGCATACATTTTTGTCAAATGCATTTCTAAAGACATCATCAGACTCAGGTTAAAACTGTCTTGGTAAATGCAGCTTGAATTTCAGAGAGCCCATGTTACTATCCTATATTATATCGCAAAGTATGCTGCAATCTGTGTGATAACTGATAAATATTTTTAATCTGTGTAAACACAGGAATTTAATGAGTTTACTATTTTTTGTAAAGCTTTTGCTATTTTTTCATTGGTAATTTTCTTGTTATTTTGATAAAGTATCAGACTTTTGAGTTTTTCAGTGTAAATTATTTTAACGTGTAAAAGTTACTGTCTTTAATTACATAATGCAGCAAAAAAATCTACTTTGAATTTCCCTTTAAATAATACTAAACTGTGGGACTAGGGTTAAAGCTCAGTGGTACAGTGTATGCTTAGCACATAGGTTTAATCTCTATTACCAAAAAAAATAAAAATACTAAAATGTTTAGGTTTTGATGACACATTTACAACATATGTAGAGGTCTTGCATATATCTGTAGAAAATACTGATTTTTCAAATGAAATGGTATGCTTTAAATTAATTTTTCAAACTTGAAATACATATTTTGTCATTTTTCGTTGAGTAGTGAGTTTTTAAATGCACAAGCAGCACAAATAATTGAACAAAAGGGCCATTTTTATCATCAGTAATTATTTATTTCTAACTTGGCCACCTTGACATTGTGACAAACAATTTAGATAGACCATTTTCTTCCATTTAATAAAGTCCACGTGGGGCTGGGGATTTAGCTCAGTGGTGCCACCGCCTGCCTCAAAAGCACAAGGTCCCGAGTTTGGTCCCCAGTACAAAAAAAAAGTCCATGTGTGTGCCTGGGGTCATTGGGAATGCTCTTAACAAAAAAAAACCCATTCAGACACACACATAAGTGAAATATTAAAGTGAAAGCTTAGGAATCAGTGGTATCAGTGACACGTTTCTTCATTACTTGGAACTATTTTGACATTTTTTTCTTTCTGAGGTCAGATAAATAGCTCAGATATAAAAAGAGTTTAATTTTATTATTAGCTATGGTAAATTCTTCTGGATGAGAAAAAAATGTTTAAATCTGACGTAGGGCTGGGAATTTAGCTCAGCGGTTCAGTGGCCTGCCTTGAAAGCACAAGGACCCAAGTTCAATCCCCGGTACCAAAAAAAAAAAACCTGACGTAAACAAAATTGACATGCTTTTTTTAAATGAACCACGTTTTAGAACTTGATGGTAATGAAAACATTATTTTAAAGGCCAAACGTAACGATGCACACTTGTAACACCAGCTACTCAGGAGACTGAGTCTGGTAGTTTAACGTCAGCCTAGGCAACATAGCAAGATCCTTTCTCTAAAAACAAGAAACTACACTAAAATGCTTGCTTGTTTTTCTTTTAATTTCTAATGGTTACATTTTATACTTAGATAATTTTTTATAATTATAACAATTCTTGGTCCAACGCATCGATATTTATTACATGAAACATATATATATTTATATATATAGATGTATTTCAGCTTTCTAGAGGTAGAACACTCAGCAGGTTGATGGTATTTGTCCTACTCTGACATTTTTAAATGCTATGCTAATAACTGGAGTATATATCTTTGGAGGCTTTCAGATTATGCTACAAAACTAGACTTGAGAATCTTTGTATGCATTCACTTGGTAATTGTGTACTTTTCTATATGTAGTTTACAGTGGATATACTTTTAAAAAAATGTGATTAGCAGCTGTGAAACAGAACTTTAAGGTCTAAAGGTTTGTTACTAGACACTGAAACTGCATGACGAGTATCTGGTGTCTTAACCAATTAGATAGATTTGCTGTATTGGTTTTCTTGTTGGATAGAATAACAGTTGATCATTTTTAGAAGAGTTTTAGATTACCTGCCATAAAATTTGTATGTGTCTCACCTCTCGGTAGTTTAACAGAAAGGTGGTGTTTAGTGCTTTCCTTTTGATGTTGCTATATCTGCATCTACAGCTGAAAGCTTAATGATACTAAATTCACTTCAACCAATAATAGTTAGCTTTTCTTTGCACTTATAACCTGTTCTTAAACTCTTAGTCTATTAAATGTAGGTGGTTTTATTTGAAGCATAAACTGATTATCTAAATTACATCTTGTTTTATGTCAGCACGATGAATTCAGTATTTTCTTTTAAAACTATCCTTGATCTCTGAAGACTAAAATATAGTGTAAAAGAAAAAGAATTTTAATTTCCACCAAATCAAAAGTTGTAAAGTCTGAAGACAGTTCACTGACTGGGAATAATAAAAGGCTTACTTTTAACATGTAGCATACAATCAAGAGTTGGTGGAGTAAAACTCTGGTAGCGTAACAGTGGAAGGAATGACCTGGTCAGAAGAAACAGGACCCAGAGAAGAGGAATGCAGCACTGTGTGTCTAAGAGAGATACCGCCAAGTAACAGAACTACTCTGTAGAGCACCGAGGACTAACGTACAGGAAGGGGGTTATTGTCTGATTCGTTTCATGACAGACTCAAGCCAAATGGAAATAAATGGATAGTTTACCAGTAAGACAAGCGTGTAGAGAGAAGACCAGACTGCCCTTGGAAATGTTACATGCTAAAACAAAAACGTGCTAAAATACTCCAAAGGGGTTTCTGGTACATTTCTTGCTTTCCTGTTCTTAAGAAAAGGGATCATGAAATCAGCTATTCTGAAATTTGAATTTACTCATACATGAAGAACCAATTGATGAATCAGTGTAAATATAAGGGGAAAGAAAGTAGTCCTACCATCTTAATTGTGATTGTGAGATCAAGAAATAATGGCCAATACTCCTGGCTGCTGTTGAAGAAATAAGAGCACAGTGTACCCAGAGAAAGACGCCAGAGACACATGACCTGAAACACCCAGAAAAGTTACAGGCTTAGCTTTATTGCAAATGGTTGCAGTTAAATTGTTCTGACTACAGATGATTACAGAATTTTTATGACCCTAGCTTTAAGAGTTTATAAACTACATTTCATGTTTTAGAGACTTAGCATGATTACAGAACTGTGCATTAAACTCACCTGGAAAGTTTTTCAAATGACACGTGGCCACGGTCTAAACCCGGGAGTGCTGTGTATGTTTAACAATTTGCCCTGGTGTTTCTAATGCACCTGCATTTGTAGTAATCTGTTGGTTTTGAGACAGCGTCTCGCTATGTAGTTCAAGCTGACCTTGAACTCATGACAGTTCCCATCCTGTCTCAGCCTCCCATTGCTGGGATTACAGCCATGTGCTGCCATGCTTGGCCTCAAGCCATTGATTTGCAACAATCTGATGGCTTTCAAGTCTCTGGTCCCAATGATTTCCTCCCCTCGTATCCTTTTAGACAGCACTTTAACTTCCTTTCCCCCAATTCCCATTAAAAATTTGATGTCATTAAACTGTTACTAAGCCTTGAAGTATTAAAGTATTACCAAGATTAGAGGTTGGTAATTGTCCTGGTTTTCAAAGGGAAGAAGTACATAAATTCTGCAAGTTACAAAGTCGTGTGTCACTTGCTGAGATGTTTGGGTGAATTATGCCATGTATGGTTTGTGAATTCTTAAAGCTGGGTTCACCAGGAGCCTTGAGACCACTAAAAAGTAAGGTGTTGTGTTTTTAATAGGGCTATGAACTAGTCAGTAGGATGTAGACAGCCTAGCAGTCCTTAAGATGTGTTTGATAACTAGCTGTGGTAAATAGTTGAGCTTAGGATCAAGTGAGTTTGGAAAAAGTTTAAATCAAGTTAGGTGGGTTTGTTAGGGACTTCTCAGAGCCTTTAATAGGCTAATATGCAGAATTATTCAGAGGAAATTATAAACTGCATGTAGTAGAATTTAACCACATCTGGACTAAACTTTCTTTTAATACTGCCTTTCAGAAGGCATAAACTACTTCAGACATTTGTGAACTGAATTTCAAGAAATGATTCTTTTGAAATAGGTTGTTTTTGGGGGGGTGCGATTTGAGACAGGGTCTCACTATGTAGTGAGACTGACCTGGAACTCACTGTGTGGCTCAGGCTGGTCTCGAACTCACAGCAATCCTCCTGCCTCAGCCTCCCGAGTGCTGGGATTACAGGCATGTGCCACCATGCCCGGCCTGAAACAGGTTTTAAAAATATATATTTTTTATGGTGTTTTGTTTTGTTTTTGAGACAGGGTCTCACTATGTAGTTGAGGCTGACCTGGAACTCACT